ATGAATTATTGTAAAATTAAATCAGGGTTGATTGTTCAGTGTTATGGTATAACTAAATTCCCAGATAATGGAAATTATGCAATAGTTTTAAATCATCATGAAGAAGGAAGTTTAAGGGGTTATTTGAAAAAAAATCATTTAAATTTAACATTAAAAGACAGAATTACAATCTTTAGATATTTATGTGATTCATTAGATGTTATACATGAAAAAGATTTAATCCATTGTGATTTACATAGTGGTAATATATTATTGCAAGGAGGTAATTGTTATATTACAGATTTGGGATTATGTGGACCAGTTGATGAAAAATCATCAGATAAAGTCTCCTTCATCATCTTCGAAAGTTCTTTCGCATTTATTGCACAATCTAGGATCTGATGGAAGATATTTTAATTTTACATTTTCACCTAATGTGGTTAATCTGCAGGTATTTTTTTTTTTTGGGGGCCTTTGCACTTGATTTTCCTGATGAAAATATTCTAATAAAAATAAACTTGTTTTTGTAATTAAATATTCTAAAATTGGTTCAAAATAAGAACCTTTTTAAAAGCATTTATTGTTGATCTATCGTGAAGGTCAAGCAGGTATGCTTGCTTAATATTGCCTCTGCTGAATGTAAAGAAGTTTTATTTGCTCTTGTTCTGTTATGAACGTTTCTACATATAATGATTTTATTACTTCATTAAAAGAACGACCGTTATCTTTCCAATAGTCTGAAATGAGGGCCAAGGGAGCTTTATTATAATTTTTTCGATTCCACCCTAGTGCCGGATATTAATACGGAAATTGTTGGTCCCGGCGTCGCAAGGATCTATCTATTACACGGATACCCAATGTAGTAACGTTCAAATTCCGAGCAGGGTTTCTCTTCAAGACATCCTTGGAAAGATGATCGAATGGATTTAATAAACATTTATTTGTACATATGTATCGTGGATTCTTCAAGTAGGGACCAATAGTTTATTATAGAGCTCGCAAACTACGCTCTCATAAAAAAACTTTGTATATCTCAATCTCACGATTGGAATTTTTCACATGGCCGTTACTTCCCCTCTTGCTTTTTGTGTGTTCTTTATTTCCAATCTCCCAACTAATCAGTTAATTTTAAATTTGAATAATAATAAAGGAAAGATTTGACTTTATATTACCCATTATTATTCGTGTTTTATCAAAATTATTTAAAAGAACAAATCTTTTTCAATGATATAATAATAATAATTATTATTATACATTATTCATTGATCATCGAAAGAAAAAAAATCCTAAAACGAAAACCAAATAATAATAATATCATCATTATTAATGTGCACATTTATCAACATAGTTCTGAATTGAATAAGATTATTGATAGGTCATTCAAAAAACCTAGCAAATAACTAACCAATTAATTATGAAACCAACTAATCAATTATCTAAAAAGAAGTTCTCTTCTAGATATAAATTCTAATTATTGTTATTATTATTATTATTCTAAATGGTTTTTATTTCTAAATCTTATAAAATCTATTCACTATTTATTTTATGTCAAGGTGATATAAGAATATTTCTTTTTTTCAAATTAATGTTTTTATTAACTTTTTAAAAATAGTTAAGCATAAAATATTTTTAATAATCTAGACATTATTATAGTCATTATATTATTATTGTTTTTCTAAGGTAGTTTTCTAATTCTATTATATATAAACGCTAATTATTGTTATTGTTAGATGAATGAATAACATGAATAAAATGACCTCGAACACGTTGTTGACATTTCTCACAGTCATTTCGTGGTCCCATGGTAAAAGCTATACACGATGATGAATTAATGAATTGACGATGATGGTAATGTTGATGTTGATTATGATGACTATTGTTATTATTATGATGTTGATGATGATTATGATGATTAATGTTATTATTGTTAAGAGAAGATTGAAGACGTGGTGTTAATTGTGATGTTAAAGTTGTTGATGATGACAATGAATTTGTTACCTATTAATTGACATGGTTAAACATTCAAAATTAGCAAGTGTTCATAATTTATCCTTAATCAAATAATTTACCATATTTTCCTCGCCTAACTCTACATTCAAACTATTTTGTTGCTTGTCACAATCCATTAGAGAAGAAGAAGAAGCAAGTGATAATGATGAGATTAATTTAAATTTGTCATCATCATTATTATCAACTAAGTTCATTCGATCTTGATAACTCTCGGTCAAACAATTATTGTTTGTCTTATTTGAAGATAAAGAATTACGTGATAATAATCGTATAACTTTCTAATAATAAAAATAAAAATAATAAATATGTTATGGAAATTCTTATAAAAATATACAATAAAAATATTATAATTACTATTATTACTACTATTATATTTATACCTGAGCTTGGTCAACCCTACTCATACTATCACTTCTAATCCTTTTTCTTCCTCCCATCATATTGCTAGGATTATTGCTAGGATTATTGCTAAGATTAATATTATTATTGATATTGGAGTTATTTGTGTTATTTGTAGAAGAATGAATCGGCAAAACGAAACCTCCAAAATGTCCTCTAACTGGTGAATGACTTGTATGATTTGTGTTTGACAAGCGTAATGTATAGTCCATGATTATTAATTATTGTTTGACCAAATATTTTAATACTTTAATTTTTTTAATTAATTTTTTTCTGGAAAAACTCGTGTCTTTTATAACCTTTTATTTATAATAATGATTTTTTTTATTGTTACGTTACCCATATCTGGATATCCATTTTTATGCAACTTTTCCAAAAAGGTTTCATTTATTGCACATGACAAATCCTTCAATTTTGGCGTCATCATTTTTCGCGTATTACAAGCAGTGACAAGTCATTTGGGTCATTTGCTGAACCAATCACATTGTTTAATTTTAAATTCAAAAATGAATTTACAAAATCAGGTGATTCTAAATTGGGGCATGCTGCAACAAAACCAGATTGCAAAAAATATTTGATATATCACAGTCACAAATGTATCATTCTTAACCTACCACATTGATCCTATTATAAAATATATAGGTTTGAACAAGCAAAACCAGATAATTATATATTTGGAGGTTTTGCTTACAACAATTGGGAACAAAATTCTGAGTTGGATTAAAATTTTTTTTTTGTTCTTTCAATTTCATGTTCTTTTTATTCCACATACTCCTCTTTTTAGTCTCTGATTTTTTAATAATTTTATTTTAATATTACAGCTGACAATGTAATGGACATTCCTGCATTCCACCTCATATATATAAAAACAAAAAAAAAATTTAACATTTTATCTTAAAATAATTGTATTTTTATACTATATATATCTCTTCAAGTGGTAACTGTGGTGATGGCAGCAGTGGTGGTGATTCCTATAAATATAAGTAAAAGGATTAAATAAAGTGTTATCTCTACTATTAATGTTTCAGTTTATACTTACAGGTGAAATTTACTGTGGATGTTATAATTTATGGGTTTCCTAACCCGAAGTTTATATTTATTGTGAGTAACATTATTGTTTAAAATAAGATTACCATTACTAGGTGTTGCTGTTCTGTGGCTGTTGTCAATGGTATACCATCAGGCATGAGAGAATGATGTGATAATGATCTCAATCAGTATATGGGGCATGCTGCAACAAAACCAGACAAAGTGAACATTGGTATTACCAAGAATTTCAGGGGTCACAATTAATGTGATCATGATATTAATATTTTAATTGTTAATATTAATATTAATATGAAACTCATTTACATCAGATCTACCCAAAAATTACAGCACCATTACAAGGTGAAAAATTTCTCCTTATATTTACAAAATATACAATACTCAGACACTGGAAGCTTATCTAGAAAAGAAAGGATTACTTATGAAATTTATCAAGAAGAAAGAAAGATAAACACTAAGAAAAGAAAACAGAATGAAGGTGTGCTATTACACAAGGTTTCTGGCCAAAACTATCTCTATTAGTAGTCGAAATTGCTGAAATACTTTGGGAAAAAATTACTTTTTTATAAGCCCAAACTATTGTAAGGTTGTTTAAGTTAAAAGAAACCCAAATTGCCCAAACTAGTTTGGACTTTGAGAAAACAGTTTGGACCAGAAATCTTATACCTAATGAAAGACTGAAATCTTTGGGCAAAAACCTTAATATAATCAAACTTGCTAATTACTTTTATCTTTATCAATGAGATTTCTGAAATATACATGCAACCCAAATTGAAGGTCAAAATTATCCTAATTTTGATGGTTGAAATTCGAAATTAATTACAGCATTCACTATTAAGAACAAGTGTAACACCCCTTTACAACAGTGTCAAAATAATTTGGGCTGCATGTATAAAGTAAACAAAATTTGGTTAATTTCAAAATCATAAAAAAATGTTTTTTTTTTAATAAGCTGTGTTTATTCTGAGACAAATTTTTTGTCATCAAAATGTTAATACCATTTGTTCAAATCCGTGGGGGCAAATAATAACAGTAGTAATTGATAATAGCAATAAAAATAATGTTATCAATAATGATGGTAATAATGATTCTATTAATAATGATGTAATATGGTGATAGTAATGATATCAAAATAACAATAATAACAATAATAATAACAACAATAATAATAATAATGAACTTTTGGGATGTATACCACCAGTCTTTACTATGAGAAAAATTCACATAATTTCATTTTCATATAAACAATTATAAACACCTTAAGGTATTTGAATTATTTTATTGGTTACTAATTATGATTACATATGGGACATCATCTGAGAAAATCAGTGAATTTTTTTTTTGTCATTTTTGAGAAAATAATGCAGTTACATGTAATTTGAGTCAAGGAATCTATTCAGCTTAGAAATATACCCATATTTGCTTAATGAAATTTTGTGATACTTCCATTTCTTTAAAAAAAGCCATTTCCGTAAAGACCCAAAAAATCGGAATGAGCTTCAAAAAAATATCTAAATTTGATTATCATTCACAATAAATTTTAAAATTTTTAATAAATTATCAATATGTGTACTAACAATAATCCTTTATATCTGAATAACATTTTTGATGAGACCCATCCAGAATTAATAGATTTACATGAAAATTTACAAGAATTCCAAAATGATTTTATGGAAACTTCATCTGAAGATATTGAAACAGAAAATATTATTGAGACCAATGTGATAGAAGATTTTGATGATGACTTTGATGATGAAATAAATAATGAAGTTTTTTCAGAAATAGAAATTAAAAAATTTGAAAAAATTTACAATAATGAACCAATTGAAGAGTCAGAAATTAGTGAATTGGAAGCTGAGAAAGAAAAATTAAATAGAAAAAATGAAGAAGCAAAAAATTATATTATAAACATACTTAAAAAAAAATGTTGTAATAAAAAATGTTTAGAAAAAATTAATCAAGAAGTTGCTATTTTACGTTGTCAAAATTATATTAATTTAACTAAAGATCAACAGAATATGTTTCTTTTGGGAATTATTTCAACATCAACCAGAAATTCAATAACCTCAACTAGTGATTATATGACAATGGCTTTTGTGTTTGATGGTATAGCAATATGCAATAATGCTTTTTTAAAATTATATAATTTATCATATGATAGATTAACTGCTTTAAAGAATCACTATAAAAATAATGATATTGTACCAAAGGTACATTTGAATAAAGGAAGGAATGTTTCTCATAAGCTCTCTTTTGAAACAGTATTAAAAGTGCTTACTTTTTTAAAAAGTTATGCAAATTTGAATGGTTTACCATCACCAGGTAAAATTAAAATATGTGTTATTTAACATTGATCAATATCTTATTTCTTTTTTATTCTAGGTCACCATTTTGAAAGAGCTACAAAAGCAATTATTTATTTACCTACAAGGGATAACTACACAGAAATACATGAAAAATTTTTAAATGATATTGGAACTGGATCAGAACATCATATTAGTTATTCAAGCTTTGTAAGAATTTGGAAGAGTTATCTTCCTGAAATTCAATTCCTCTCACCATGAACTGATCTTTGTACCTTATGTAAAGAAATGAGATTTAATGCAAATTTTTGGTCTTTAGCTGAAAAAGAACAAAAAGTTAATAATTGGAATGCACATATTAAGTGGGCAAATAATGAAAGAGATAATTATAGGTATAGATTTAAATATTTCATTTTAGGTTTAATTAGTTTAATTTATAAATCATTTGTTTTATATACAAAAATTAGGAGCTGTATACAATTTGCAAAAAAAAGTTTGGAAAGTAATGAACCAACATTTATGGGAGAGGAAATTCCTCCATGTTCATCAGATGTTGATGTTCATATTTCATGGGATTATGCACAACAAATACAACTTCCAAGTTCATCTCAACAAGTGGTAAATTGGTTTATTTTTTTAATAAAATTGATTTAAAAAATTGATACTAATTTATTTAAAAAATTGATTAGGGAATTTCATATTTTAAATCATTGTACAAAGTGCAATTATTTGGTATATGCAATGATGCTATACCAAGACAAGTAATGTTTATTAAACTATCCTTTGATTTTTTAAATAGTTAACATATTAACTTTTTTTAAAATTTTAGATAAATTATTTAATTCCCGAAAAATATTCAATGGGTAAAGGCCCTGATACTGTAGTTTCCATGGTGCATGATTACTTTCAAAAACATGGATTAGGTGAAAAAAATATCACAATTCATGCTGACAACTGCTCTAGTCAAAATAAAAATAATACTATGATATGGTATTTAGTTTGGAGAGTGATGAATGGATTACATAAAAGAATAACTTATTCTTTCATGGTGCCTGGACATACCAAATTTTCACCAGATGGTTTTTTTGGCTTAATTAAATTGAAATTCAGAAAATCAGAAATTGATGATATTGATGATTTAGTTGAAATTGTCAATAATTCAACTACAGCTATGTACAATTTGGCACAACCTGTTTATGAAAATAGTGAAAGAAAAGTAGATTTTTACCAATGGAATGCTTTTTTCTCAAAGTATTTTAAAATTCTCCCTGGGATTTCTAAATATTATCATTTTCTATTTGAAAGTGAACATCCAGGTTATATAAAATATAAAAGGTGTCATAGTGATGATTTTGGATCTTATAATTGTCTTTTAAAGGACCACAGTTTAGATATTAATTCAATTAATTTGGATGATGAATTGAAAATCAAAGAAGCAATAGGGTTAAGTGCTTCTAGACAATGGTATTTATATGACCAAATACGAGATCTAGTGCAAAATCCCAATAAAAGAAATAATATTTGTCCAAAACCTTCTGTACCTAGACATTAATTGTTAATTTTATCAATAATTTATTAATTATATGTATTATTATTGTTTTTTTATTTTTATTAAAATTTTTTGGGTCAAGATTGTCTGCATATTTTCTATTTTAAATTTTTCGGGTTGTGATTTCCTTTTATGGGAAATTAATAACAAAAACTTCAAACCCCTTTTTCTCAAAATGACAAAAAAAAAATTCACTGATTTTCTCAGATGATGTCCCATATATGGATTTTTCACCAATCAAATTACAGGTGAGCATGGCTGTAAAACGATCTTTGGGTCATTTTTTACCAAAAACTGATGTGTGAGCAATTGTTCTTTTTGTTCTAGCTTCCAGAATATAGCAGTTTCGTCACAATTCCATATATCTTCAGGACTATAGTTTTTTAAGATCTCTTGAAGTTGAAATTGCATGTTTGCAATTTCATCAATAGGAACACTCATAGATTCTCCTCTTTTTTTATAACTTTGTAAGTCATTTCTTTTTTTAAAATTGGATAACCATCCACTAGATGCATTAAAATCTCTAATTCCGAACATATTAGCAAATTCTTTTGCTTTTTCTTGAATAATAGGACCACTTATTGTTAAATTTTTAGCAAGAAGTTGCTCAACCCAAATTCTTGTTGCTTCTTCAATATTCGGGTGACTAGTTGCTTTTTTCCTAAATTGAGTATTTGAAGAACCTTCTTCATATTTCAACCATTCAGAAGATTGCCTCAATATATCAGAAACAGATTGTGTAGATATTCCATACTCTTGGGCAAGGTCAATTCCTTTAATATTTGGGTTATCTCTCTTTTTTTCACATAATTCTTTTTTTTGTGCTTTAGTTAATATTTTTCTTTTCTAAATGATTTTTAAAGAAAAGAATTAATTTTTGAGGCATCAATAACATTTAAACCTTTATTAATTAAAAATTACTTTTGATATTTGACTTAGGTCTTCTGATATGTTCTGTTCCGACATATTTTCAATTTTATTATGATTTTAAATTTATTATTATATTGCACATCAAGTTTGATAGTCCTCAACCTACAATCAAACATCTTTTTATATCTATTTGAAGTAATACAATGGCATTTCTAAATGATTAAAAGTAGCTTCTTTGACTTTATTCATATGTAAGATTAAAAGCAATGACCTCATTTATGGATTAAAAAATAATGACATCAGAATGAACAATCTTTCAATTATTAGCTTATAAAGAAATAAAAAAAAATGACATGTATATAAGTGTCATTGACATTAAAATGAATCATTAACAACAATCTTTCAATTATTAGCTTATAAAGAATAAAAAAAATGACATATATATGTGTCATCGCCAAGAAATAGTAATAGTTAACAATTTGTTTGTTGTTAATATTTTAATATTAATAATACATTATTACGTTATAAAATTATACTATCCAAAAAGGCAAGGATCATTGTTATCCGTAATATCGAGAGAATTTTATTATAAGTGACATATATGGATTTTTAAAAAATATCCGTTAAATCGAATATATTAGTCGCATGACATTTCCCGCCGATCTATAGGAGGTTGTAAAACATAGTAAAATTTGGATGATCTGCATCAT